TGGAACTCACTGTGTAGCCCAGGCTGTTCTCGAACTCACAGTGATCCTCCTGCGTCAGCCTCTTGAGTGCTGGAATTACAGGCCTGCGCCACCACACCCAGCTTACAGCTGCCTTTTCAAAATGTACCTCAGATGATGTTGCCTCCCTCCTGTGGAATGACATTTTAAGGGTTTTTCATTGCTTGACTTTAGGAAAAAGGCCTAAACCCTAAAAGTAGCCCTAAGTGCTCAGAAGCATCTGCGTTTCTTTCTAGACTTACGGCCCTTTGTGTTCCATCTAACCACAAGGCCTTCTTTTATTTCTTCACATGGCTACATATTCTTACCACAGGGCCTTTGCACATGCTGCCCATGCTCCCTGGAATTCTTCTTCCCTTACCTGTAGGTAGCATTTTTTCAGGATGTGCTCTCTGTCCTCCCTGACTCAGCCAATATCCCCCTTTAAGGATCCTCCTAGCCCCACATTTACAAGAGACGCAACTATATATTACTGCATGACAAATGTTTACTACCAACTCCACTGAATAGGAGGCACAAGAGAGCAAGGGCCAGGTGCCCCATGGCTCAGCTCTGCATGCCCTGTGTCTCTTGCAGGCTGCTGGTGCCCACGAACACCACTTACAGCTAACAGGCAGCGAGCACTGCCAGGGAGCTGGGCGTCCTGCTAAGTTCTTCATGGACATTAACACCCAGCAGCCCTGCAAGCCGGGTACTGTTGTTACTACACTTCCAGGGTGAGGACACTGGAGCACAGAGGAGTCACACAATGGCTTCTGGTCTCTGCAACCTCCGTAACTCACAGGGAAGGTGCTCAAGTCGAACTGCAGAGCGAACGGACGTGTGAATGAACGGGCAGACGCCACACTCTGTCCACGGGGGCTCCCTTCCTCTGTGCCCCTGCAGCACGGGGGCCTGCAAGGAATGGCCCAGCTCTGTGATCCCACGCCAGCCCGCACTGCCTGGGCCCCAGCCCCTTCCCCACTCTGCTCTGCACCTGGCCCAGGTGTGACCACCCTGAGCCCACGCTGCAGCTGTCACCCACGTGCCCCTCCTACTCCCGTCGGCATGGCGATCTGGGCTCAGGGTCTCAGACCACGGTCACTGCCTTCCAGGCCCAGCTTTTGTTCCAACCTGGGCCCTCGTGCACCTCTGGCACCGTCGGAGCCGCCCGACAGGTAACAAGTGGTCTTCTGGTCTGCAGCTGCACTGCCTCCCCGGTCTCACGTCCAGAGGCGGCACGCGGTCGGAGGGGTGGATCTCAGGGCTCCCTGCCCCTCCCTTCGCTCTGTCACCGGCCGCCATGATGTGAGCCACCTTTCCTCCGCCAGGCCCTTCCACCATGTGGTTTCTGCTTTAGTCAGCCCAACCACGCCCGAACCCACCGAAATCATGAGCCATATTAACCCTCTCCTGTAAGTTGTGGGTGTCCGCTAGTCCCGGCAGTGGGAAGGTGACGGACATACAACTGTCAGGACCCCTAGTGCACTCACCTGTGAAATGGGCACAACAGAGGGTGGTGGTAAGGTTTAAAGTGATTATCTGTGAAGGCATCAGCATGTCTGGCAAGTCAGGGGTCTCTCATGACCACCGGGATCATCGTCCTCACTGGCGAGTGCTCCTGAGTACCGCCAGGTCCACCTGCCCCAGCTGAGCAGCCAGGGCCCAGGCGCGGAGCAGAGCACTCGCCTGGGTGAATCCGTGAGGCAGCCTCTCAGTGCCACACTCATCTCGTTTGTAAAGTGAGGGTAAGGGCTGTCTTCCTCCCAGGGCTGCTGTAGGAGTGAGAGCACGGCAGTGCTCGGCCCACTAGAACAGGATCGGCATTCCACTGGAGCTGCTCTCGGCCTGGATGCTATCACCATTCCCCAGCCCGCGGTGCTCGGGCCTAGCAGGGTGTGGAGCCTGGAGTGCCCGCACTGTGCCAGCGGAGGGTGGGTCTGTGTGTTCCCGGGAGCAGGGGCTGTAGCTCCAGTCCACACAAGCCCTGGGCCAGGCCCAGGGAGCCCTCTACTCCTCCAGATCTGATCCAGGGAAAAGCACTGCCCAGAGGAGATCACAGTTCATGCCAGATCACACACTGCAGGCTCACTCAGGAACCCATGCTATGGCCGCAGGAGGAAGAGTCCATTAACCCAAAGCCTTGCTTCGGGGGACCCGATGTTTTGATTAAGCTTTCTGTGACACATCCCCATTACTCACACACTGCGGTTGCAGGATTTAAAGACACAGAGACAGTTCAGAACATCGCCTTCTCAAAAGGGTATGAATTTCCCAGCAAAATGCACATGCAGCAGCAAAGATCAGCAGCAGCAAGGCTGGTTTCCTGGTCTAGTCACCACTGTGTCCTTGGGTAGCAGAGTGCAGTATAAGAGGTGAATGGCCACTCGTGGGCTGCTCCAGTGGGGAGCAATGTAACTGTACCAGGCGTAGTAGTGCACACCTGCAATCGCAGCACTCTGGGAGGCTGAGGCAGGAGGACTCCAAGTTTAGCCCAGCCAAGGCAACTTAGTGTGACCTTATCTAAAGAAACAGAGTTGGGGATATGGCTCAGTGCGACGGCCCTGAGTTCAATGCTCAGCAACACACACACACGCACACACACACACACACAACTGACCACCATCTTTCTTTAACACTGTGGTGTCTAAGGGGGCCGTGGAAATATGATGGACACAATTAATTTCTTTTTCGTTGTTTTTTTGAGACATGGTCTTGCTCTATAGTTCAGGCTATAGTACTATGTAGCTACTCACTATGTAGCCCAAGCTGGCTGCATGCACCACGATCCTCCTCCGTCAGCCTATGAAGTTCTGGGATTATAGACATGTGCCACCACGACTGGCACAAAGCTAATTTCTTTAATTCTCTGCTTCTCATAGTCTTGTGGGGATTGGGGAAAAGACAAGCCTCTGGAGCTTTTTTAAACTTGCAAAGCAAACTTGCAAAGCTGGTGGACCCAGGGAGGCGTCAGCAGCCAAAACCACGGTGCGGTGTGTGTGGGAGGAGAGAGACTGAAGAAATGTGGCAGGTACCCGGTGTAGAAGGCCACGTGTGCCTAAGACTGCACAAAGTTAAGTGCACTGAGCATTTCATGAACATAGAATTCCTACACAGGAAGTGTCAGAGCCACCAAATTCCACACACAAAGAAACGGAGTCTTTCAGAGTTTATGAAGCTGGGGAAGACCACACAACTCCTGACTGATGAAGGGTAGATTTGAATTCAGGACCTGTGACTCTGGAACCAGTGTTCCCCATCATTAACCAGAAAGCCAGCACCCCAGTGAGAACTCCCCGAGAGACTAGGGTGCATTCATACAGTGCCCTCTACCGGCTCACTTTGGTCACAGGCACCACCCACAGGGCTGGAATGCGGATAAGGGAATTTGAATTAATGGAAACGAAATGAACCTACCACACTGGACACTGATACTCTCAGGAATCATTTTCTGGAGTTGATCAGACCGAGTGCAGGGTAGTGGCAAAGATCTGAGATGAAGGGCATTAGCTGTCTTGCCCACGGATCCACAGGCAGCCATGAGGACCAACACCCCACACGCCTCTTCCAGCCGCGTGCTCTCCTCACACGGCCTGCCCCTGCAGGCCCCCAGAAGGCACAGAGCTGCGGCAGACACACCGGGAACATCTGTCCTTGGACAGGGTGCACATCTGCACCAGTGGGGGCTGCTTAAATGCAGGTTCCCAGGCTGCGCCCTGGTCACATTCTGCCACCAGAAGCCTCGGGGAGGAGCCCCAGCCCAGGTTTAATCAAACACCCGATAAGAGGCTTGGAATGCTGGTGGTCTATCTCTGAGAAACCCTGCTTCAGACGCTGAAGTACATATTTATCTGCTGGCCTTTTAAATAATTATAGCACACAAATCTTTCGAGACTAACACAGCTCTGTGAGGAGCCAGGCAGCCACCACTCCGCACCGACTGCTCCCTCCCACGGAGTCAGAAAAGGTGCCCAAGCACTTCCATTCCTTCCTTTTCATCTGAACACAGAGGTAAGGGGACTGGCTTTTGTTCTCTGGGACAGACCGCAATGCAGACGAGAAGGCATTCGAGGGAGAGGAAAGGTAAAAAGCACTGTACAGGCACCGTACAACCCAGAGGCGCGTTCTGCTTGTCCAACCAAGACTAGATCGATTTCACATCTCTAAAAAAGCCCACAAGGCTGGGGATTTGGCTCAGTGGTTCCGCCGCCTGTCTCGCAAGCATGAGGACCCGAATTCAATCCCCTGTATCCGTTTTTAATTGCTCTGCAAAACTGGAAGACCTGACAGGATGGGGCTCATGCCAGGCAGTGACCCAGCACACACGACTCAGCGTGACTCCAGAGGGTGCACACAGATTCTAGTCCCTGCGACTCCGCCCCTCGGTCCTGCAGCTTGGGAGATGAAGGGTCATGAGATGCCACCCTTGGTGGTGCAGCAGACGGTCACACGAGCTGCTGCATGTAAAGTACCTAGGATGAGGCCTGGCTCCCGCCAGAGCTGGATAAGCGTCTGCTGCAGACAGACCCTGCTCATGGCCGCAGGACCCAGCACCCTCAGTCTCCTCTCGTCCCTGTGCCAGGTGCCCGCTGCCGCCCTACGCCCGCAGTGGGGCAAGGGCTGGCATCACAGCCAGGCGCCGTCTGCCCTCCTCCCAGCGACGCCTGGTGTCCTGAGGCCAGAGTGTCCCCTGACTCACTCCGTCTGTCTTCACCACACACGAGGCTCCCTCTCGGGGCTGGGGCGCAGGCAGCGCGGCTCTGCCATGGTGCACACCACCAGGGGTGCAGCTCCCTGCCTCGCCTGGCCCTGTCTCTCCAGCAGTCAGAGCTGGCTCCGGGCAGTGGTCTCAGCCTCCTGGGCTCCTCCCCGGCTCTGCCTGCCTTCTCTCCCCTTCTCCTCTGACCCCGTGGACACCAGCTTGCCCCGGAGACTGCACCCCACAGAGCCGGGAGCCACTGTGCGGCCCCAAGGGTGGCGGACGCCCAGGGCGCTGAGCCTACCTGTTGTGTTGGACAGGGCCAGCGAGTCCACGGAGCCACGCGGCGTCTGCTCCGTGGGAGTCCTGTCCTCCGTGTACTGCAGGGAGCCGAGCGGGTGGCGGGTCCGGCACTGCTGGGGGGCCAGGCCCCCGCCCCCCTCCTCCTCCTCTTCCTCCTCGTACTTGGGCACCTGGATGCCGCCCCGGGCCTCGCCGAAGCCCTGAGTGGACATGTCGCTGTAGCTGTCCTGGGACCGCAGCCGCGCCGGGTAGTAGTCGTCGCGGCACTCCTTGAGGAAGCTGCCGCCATGCCCTTTCATGGCCAGCGCCGAGCTCCGCTTGGGGTTGGCGAAGTGTGGGGGCCACACGTCGCCCTGGGCCCCCGCTCCCTGCGCTCCTGGGCTGTAGGGAGCCCTCGCATTGCACAGGCCAAGCAGCTGCAGAGGGCTCTGGGCCTGACCCTGCTCCATCTTGCTCCCATAGTGGTAGGGCTCGTCCCGGCTGCGCCAGATAGGGTCCCGGTTGAGGCTCGGCGTCTGGCTGGACAGGCTGAGCAGGTCCATCTGCAGGGACAGGGGGTCCACGTCGGCCGACAGCCGGTTTGAGCTCACCTGCAGCTGGCTGTGCTGGCTCAGCATGGCCTCCTCTGTCTTGCCCTTGTTCTTGCCGATCTTGGCACTGCGCCGGGACTCCTTGGCTCTGGCGTTCTGGAAGGCCGAATCAGAGGAGTCAGAGCCGTTGGGGTCCTCGCCGGCACTGCAGGCTCGGGAGCAGAATATCTGGCCCTGCTTTGGGAGGAACGGCCGCCCCAGGAGGGACTTTTTGCAGTGCGCACAGCAGAAGCAGGTCTCCGTGGCGTGCCAGTGTTGGCCATCGTAGGTCATCTGGCCCTGGTCGATCCCTGGAGGGAAGAGAGAAGGGAGAGGCTGAGAGGCACCGCTCTGCCGGGGCGGGGGCGAGGGGCGAGGGGATAACGCGCTCTCCGTGACACCAGCGACCAGGCCCGAGTGCCAGCATTCATGCCCCGCGCAGCCCATTCTGCCAGCTGGCTCCTTCCTAACTCGCTCGCTTGCTCCCAGCACAGAATCTAGATTACAGTGGCCTGCCCAAGAGTCTCACCCGAGACACACTTCCCAAGACAAATGGCAACACAGGCTGGGCGTCCCTCATGCAAAACTCTGAAATAAGAACAGTGCTCAGAAGCTCAAAGCCCTGGAGAGTCATCGCAACACCACAAGCAGAAAACCTGCTCCACGCAAGGAGCTATCAGAGCTGCTGCATGACACAAGTGGGATTAGTGCCCATCCCCTGCCAGGCACAGCCTGCAAGAAGTCGGGCAGTCTCTCAGACCTGCAGGCGGGAAGGGACCTGGGCAAAGCGTGAGCCTCCACCTGGAGGGGCCCAGGTGTCCCTGACCCCAGGGTCATCTAGAGTCCACGAGCAGGATGCTGCACGGGGACAGACAGCAGGGACGGTGCAATGCAAAGAAGCCCTCCTCCCCCTGCCGTACACAGGCAGGGGCATTCTTCGCTGTGAGCCCTTCCCCAACTGTGGGGCTCTCTTCTTCTGGAGCCTGGTCCTGCGGGCATGGGGTATGGAGATGGGAGGGGCCTCAGGAGCTACTGCAGAGAACACGCGCTGTGTGAAGGAGCTGAGCCCACCCCTTTCAGCAGCCGAGGGCAGGACCAGCTGGCAGGGCTGTGAGACACTTGCTCTCTTGGCCCCTGGCAGCCCTGGGACCGGTCATAGCACTGTACTAGCTGGGGTGAAGCTTCGGGACTGGCACACATAGGTTCAAATCCCCTCCTACCCACTTCCGTCTGCTGGGCTCAGGTCTTAGCTCTGCTGCTTTCCAGCTGTGCACCCTTCCTTGACCAGCCTGTCTCTGTGTCCTATACAGCCTGCCCTGCTCTCTGTGTCCCCTCTTCTGTGCTGAGTCCTGAGAAATCGCGCTGGCATCCCTGGCTGCCTTGGGTCTTGTCTGCTCTCTGCTCAAGGTTTGTGCAAGATCCGGCCCAGGCAGGCCCTCCAGAGCTGATCCTGGGCATTTCTGCAAAGAGGAACAGTCCATGCAGCAGCAGGGGCCTCAGGAAGGATGGGAGTGGAGGGCAGAGGGCAGGCGCATTACAAAGCAGCCCAGCAGGCAGCAAGCAGGCCCCTGATAAACATCAGCACATCAGCCAGTCAGATGGTCCTCTGAACTGCTCCTGAACTCAAACATCTGGAAGAGGGCCCTGCCCCGAGGGTCTGAGCATTCCTTCCGTCCCACCCCAAGCCCTCACTGCTGTTCTGAGGCTGTGTGTCCACTGCAGCCACAAGCCTCGAGCTGTTTAAGCTGTTTACTCCGCTCCTTGCAGGCAAAAGTCCTGTTGCCATAGCAACTGTGGCCCGATGCAGGGTCTGCTCTGCTTGGCTGGATAAATATGGAATGTTTGTACAGCATGGTCAGAGGCACAGCACCCGGCAACAAAGGTATGCATGACAGACAGACTGTTGCTGTGGCAGGGTAATTATATTTTACAGAACAGGGGCTTTATAGGGGCCGGGGATGGAGCTCAGAGGTGCCACACCTGCCTGGCAAACACAAGGTCCTGAGTTTGATCCCTGGTTCCACAAAAAAAAAAAAAAAAAAAAAAAAAAAAAAAAAAAAAAAAAAAAAAAAAAAAAAAAAAAAAAAAAAAAAAAAAAAAAAAAAAAAAAAAAAAAAAAAAAAAAAGAAAAGAAAAGAAAAGAAAAAAGGGTTTAAAAGAAACCTCAGGGCCTGTAATCCTAGCACTCCGGGAGGCTGAGGCAGGAGAATTGCAAATTTAAGCCCAAATTGGGCTATTTAGCAAGATCTCCTCTCAAAATGAAAAAAACAAGTAAAAAAAAGGGCTATGCTGTAGCTCAGTGCAAAGGCCCTAGGGTCAATCTCTAGTACCAAATAATGCTATTACTACTACTAATAAAAGCAAGCATCAGGAATAGCAATCTTACTATAGCAGCAAGCATACTGTAGTGGTGGCCTTTCCTGGTAAAACACTGATGCCTTCTATGGATGTAAGAGGAAAGAAAGGAGAGGGGAAGCCAATGCACAGCTGGAAAACTGAAAGAAGAGAGAAAGAGGAAGCAGAGGGGCCAGCTGAGGTGCCCGTGACCCAGTGTCGGGTAGGGTTTCTCTTTCGAGCTGCCAGATAAAAACCCTAAGATGCAGTTTCTGAGGCTCTGAGGCTTCGTGGGGAAACACAAGGACTCGGGGATGGGGTGCTGCACGGTGCTTAGGACACTGGCGCCCGGCTGCTCACCGACAAACCCTCGGTCAGACTCAGATTCTGGAGTAACTGCACAGGGCCCACAGTGTCCCCGACGTGGCCCCGCCTCCCCGTCCAGCCACCAGCCCGCCGCTCCCTGACCGGGAAAGCAGCGCCCAGAGTCTGTGCACCTGTGGCTGTCTGGCCCGGGAAAGGCAGGCTCCGGGACACTTGGCTGCTTTCTCCCCTGCTGGGCCCTGGTCTTTCACGAGGGGCGTGGGAGATGCCAGTCTGTCTCCTGCTTCCCCTTCTCTTGCCGAGCCCTCTTCCCCGGAGGAGGAGTCGTGCGGCACTCAGCTCCCACTTGGAGGTGGGCTGGGCCCTTGCCTGAGGTGGGGTGCCAGGATTTTATTTGGAGGAAGTGGCTTGGAAAGGGAAAGTGACATGGTGCCCCTTCCTTATAGCTCTAAGGAGGACTCATCCTGGCTACCCTGTGAAGACAGCTTGCTCCCAAGTGAGGCCAACACAGCAAGCAGAGCTAACACAGAGAAAAATCCAGACTTGTCTGAACGTTGATTCAGCCCTACCTGAAGGTAGCACTCTCCTGGCTCCTTCCAGTAATGTGGGTCAAGAAATGCCCAATTTTACCCAATGAGTTGGGTTCCTGCTACTTGCAACCAAAGGGACTCTACCTGCGTCCGGCACAAGAGACCCGGGCTGAGTGCCGGCACCGCCTCACCTATGTGTTGGGCACAGGTGTCACAGTACTCCGCATACAGGGACTCGAAACAGTGGCAGCAGTAGGGCCTTCCTTCCTTCATGATGTAGCGCTGGCCGCCCAGCACCGTCTCACATTCGAAGCAGCAGAAATGTTTCATGTGCCAGTGCCGCCCCTCAGCTTCTGTGCATTCATCAGCAAAGATGATCTGGAGATGGGGAAGCCGCACAGTCAGTGTCTGAGGCCCAGCCCCAAGAGCCCCTCGGAGGAGGTGAGCCAGGGGCCCAAGGAGGGAGGCAAAAAGCAGGTCTCGCCCAGGAATCATTAAGGAAAATCTGTACATACGAGTGTGCTTCTTCTGTGGACAGCGACTCCCACACGTGGACTTGCATTAAATGTGGTTCACGGCCTGGCCAGCGACTAACCCAACCAGACAAAGAACACTCTGCCTCCAGGAGTGGCATGGGACACAGGACCGTCACAGGCACACTGGACGCGCACAGCATTTTGGGAAATGCCACAGACGCCTGGAACCCTGGCTACTGCCCAGAATGGTAACTCTGGGTGACGCTCATGACACAGTCCTGCTGAGCAATGGCGAGACAGAGCCAGGAGGGAGGCTGCTGCTTCCAGACCAGCGCCACGCTGCTCAACTTGTCACTGCACACTTCATCACTGCCCGCTGACTTGCAATGTGACAACCTCATCTACAGCTCCCTTCTGGCCCGGAGGCACTGGAGTCTGTGAACCTTACACAGAGTTGTTTTAAATTTCAAAGCACAGATATCAAAACGTACTAGCCAGCTGCAGTAGCCAAGCCAGTGTGAGGCTGGCACAAGGATGGACTCACAGAGGACTGGGACAGAACTGAGAGTCTGGGAACAAATCCATACAGAGGTGGTCAACTGACTGTCAGAGGGGAGGCCAAGACCAGTCCATGAGGCCAGCACAGTCTCTACCACAACCGGACAGCTGCATATAAAACAATCTGCGTAAACCCCTCTCTCCAACCATATTAATTAACTAATTTCAGAAATTAAACCGAAAGGGGATTAAAGGCCCAAATGTGATGGCAAACAATGATAAAGCACGGAGAGGGAAACAGGTGGAAATCTTGACCATGGACCAGGCAATGGATTTTTTAGATACGACGCTAAATAATTAACAATAAACAAAGTAGATTCCATCAAAACTAAAAACTTTCATGCTTCAAAGGACAACATTAAGAAAGTGAAAATACAAACAGAGAATGTGAGAACATATTTGTAAACCATGTATCTGGTAAGGGGCTAGTATCCACACTAAATAAAGAACTCAACTTAATAACAAAGAGAAAAATAACCCAACTGAAAAAATGGACAAAAGTTGTAAGTAGATATCTCTCCCAAACAGAGAAACACAAACAGTAAAGACACTTAACATTAACAGCAGTTGTAGAAGTACAAATCAAAATGTCAGTATAGTACTACTTCATACACACCAGGATGACTACAATAAACAAAAATACACAATTAAAGTGCTAACAAGAGTGTGGAGAGACTAGAAGGCTCATGCACTGATAGCACGAATATAAAATGGTATAGCTATTTTAGGAGATAGTGTGGCATTCGTTCAAAAAGTTAAACTTAGACTTACCACATGACCCAGCCATTTTACTCCTGGATATATACTCAAGGAAAAAATGTATGGATACACAAAACCTATAAATGAATGCTCATAAGCAACACCGTTTATAATAGCTAAAAATTAGAAACAGAAATGTCTCTGAATCGCTAAGTGGTTGAACAAAACATGATACACATATATAATCGGCTGTCACTCAGTCATGAAGAAATGAAGCACTACACATACCACAACTCTGACGAACTTTGAAAGCATACTAAGTGAGGGACCTGAGACGAGTAAGGTCCCATGACTGTGGGAGTTCATTAGGGGAAATGTCTGCCACATACAGACCCACAGAGCCGGAGGACAAAGGAGGGCTGTCCAGGCCGGGAGAAGGAGCAGGAGGAGGAGCCTGACTACTAATAGAGAAGGGCTTTCACTCTGGCTGACGAAAGTGGCCTGCGATCAAACAGGCTGCACCACTGTGTGAAGAGCTAAAACCCGGGGAACTGCTCATCTTAAATGGGTGACTCAATGCTAGGCAAATCCTGCCTCAGTAGGGACCTTCAAGGCTCCTTCCTTCAGTCCTTGCGCTCGCTTTGCCCGTGAAGAACACACAGGTGCACCATGAGTGCTCACGGACAGCTGGGGAAGTGGCCGCCCAGGCTCGGAGCTGGACCCCCTCTGGGAGTCTCTCCAGCATGTGCCGATGGCCACTAGAACCCAAGTCAGTTGGGTGCGAGCAGGTCCTGCCCAGAAGAGTGCCTGCCCCACAGGAAGCTGGCAAGAGAGCTGCCCCCGTCACAATGGACTCTGGCTTGGCAAGGGAGCGCCAGCCTCCCAGATGCTGTTTATAAGAGGTTGCATGGACCCAAACCCTCCTCTAGGAAGGAGGAGACCTGTGTGTAAAGCCTTCAAAAGGCATACGTCAATATTTCTCCAAAAGAGAGAAAACACAGACAGACAGTAAAGATATTTAACAGTATCAGGAGTTATGGAAGTACAAGGGATTCCCATGGAACAGGTCAGGTTTAGAACCTTCTTCTTTCACTCCCAATTTTCAAAGCCGAGCCAGCATCTTGATGCTGTCACTCCCAGGCCACTCTGGGACTTGGCTGTGGGGACATGGTCCTGATTTCTCAGACCTCTACCCCGGCAAGGGGCAGAGCGTCTGAGGAGAATCCATCTGCCTCCTGCATTTAGAACTTCTGTAAACTGTGGGGAAAATAAAATCTGCTGCCCAGGCCTCCTTTAACTCCACTCCTGACAATTACTCCCTGGGGCTTGGGTTGGCATCTGCCTAAAACTGCTTAGTGTCCTTTTTATTTTATTTTTTAAGAATTTAAGAGTTCTGAAAGGACCCAGTACCCACTGTATGAAACTAGGCATCTCCTCGGCCTCCCAACTGGCAGCTTGCCACCTTGAGCCGGGGTGGGCAGGGACTCCCGCCTCTCAGGAGAGGGTAGATGGGGGCCCACGGAGCACCTCGCACAGGGGGCTAAGGCCGGCGGAGGGCGTGGGCAGGGAGCCAAAGGCGGGAGCTCTGACCTCATCGCAGGCGGCACAGCGAGGCTTCAGGCACTCGGCATGGTGCCTCCCACAGTAGATCTTCCCATCTTGGTAAAAGTAGATCAAATCCACCAGGAGCTCATTGCAGACGGTGCACATGAAGCAGGGCGGGTGCCAGCAGACACCGTGGCCAGCGCGTGACGCAAACACAGCAATGTCCCCGCCGTTAATCTGGCCTCCACACTGCAAGGCCGACAGAAAAACATCAGCACCAACCAGGCCCGCTGTCCGCCCCGCACCTAAGCGACAAGCCACCGACAGCAGCCAGTTATTAAGCATCTGCCTTCCCGACTGTCCCTGCTTTACAGATGTGGCAGGGCGGGGTTCCCTTTCCCAGAGCTCCAGAAGATAAAGAGACCGAGGACTTACCAAGGTGGGGAAGGAAGAAAACCTCGTGGGGCACTATCCCGTGCTGGGGCCCTGAGGTGTGTCATGACCCAGACTTTCGGGACAGCAGGCCACTGGGAGCGGGGCAGGGCAGCCGCCTGCAAACACTCACCCCTCAGCTACCACCCTCCTCCCAGGTCCTGTGTGCCAGCTCTGCCCTCTTTTCCGCTCCCTAAAGTAGTCCTGACTGATGGGTGCTGCTCTAAAGGCCAGAAGAGGGGCAGTTTCTTCAGGGGCTCTTGTATCTCCCCACTCTGCTTCCCAAGTGCCCACCCTAAATTACCAAAAGCAAGGAGAGTCACGCAGGGCTGGGATGAGCATGCGCCAAGGGCCTCGGAGGGAGGAACAAGGCGGAAGGCTGTTATCCTGCGCTCTCTGGCCAGGTCCACAGCCTGCGTCCAGCACCACGGCCTCAGGAGCATGGGTGCACTCTGGGGATGTCTACAAAGCAGGGAAGCCACCTCCAAAACTTTCCCACACTGCAGATGGTGTGGACGGAAAGGAGGCCATGGCCTCGCAGAGCCGTCTGCAGAGCTCACGGGGGTGACCAAGAAAGAGAGACCCCATGTTATGGCAAGTACTACTCCCGGGTCCCATGAGGTCGCCGAGAGCCACGCTGTGCACACAGGGCCCACTTAATCCTCCTCACTCTTCTACAAGGCCTGTTATCACTACCGTGAGAGGGCAAAACTGAGGACAAGGAACAGAGTCCAGGTCATCTGGTAGAAACATGCGCAGACCCAGGAAGGCTTCCAGCTTCCATGCCCAACACCGCGCTGCTCTGGGCATGGAACGCCAGGCCTCCTCCCCACTCACCAGGAGCCTGGGCAGCGCAGGCCCTGACCTGAGCATGGCGACTCATCCCCAGCACTGAGCTCCTCACTGCCTCTTCACTGCCCCAGCGACCCCCCTCAGCATGTGCCTGGTCCACCAGAGCGCATGCAGCTGGACACGCTGCTCAAAGGCAGCAGCGTGTGGTTAGGGCAAGGAATGACCTCGGAGCTGCACAGGGGCGGAAGCCAGGTAGATCGGCTTCTTGCCTCCTTTTCTTTAAGCCCTCCCCTACCAGGCCCTGAGTGCCGAGGGCAGCAGGAGAAAAACCAGGTTCCCACCCTTCTTCTCAGGGAGATCCTGGGAGAATGCAGAAAGCGTCTTACACTGGGCCACAGAACTCACAGACCTAGAGAAGACCAGTGTCCCCTTAAGGGGACCACCAGTCCTGGGATGACCTGGAGGAGAGGCTGGCCTGGCCAACGCCTTGTCCGACAGTGCGCAGTGTGTCTGCTGCAGTGGCTTTCGCAGCCTCCACAAACTCTGACTACGTCTGCCAGCGGTGAGCCCGGTCCCCCTGCCCAGCCACCCGGCCCCTCGCTGTTCCTGCAGCACAGTGGCCACCTCCTGGCAGGACCTCTGCGCTGGCTGACCCCTCCGCCCCCCAATCTGTGTTGTCCCTCTAAAACACCTCTGAGGTCTTCTAAGCGGGTCTTTCCAGACCCCTCCCTGCTATGTTTTCCTACTTTGTGGTTAACATTTATTACCTAATCTCTTCCCCTAGACCACACCCCTCACAAGGGCAAACTGGGCTTTCCTGGCTTGTTCACTGCCATATCGCCAAGGCCGAGATGCCAGGCACACAGCGGTAGCTGAATCATCGCAGCATGAAAAGCGAGAGAAACGATGCCAGGGCACCATGCTCCCCTCAGGAACACACACTCACCTGCTCGCAGATTGCGCCGGTCATGGTGACGGGGAAGGGCCTGACATTCCCTCGGCCCAAGTTCTCACGTTTCCGCTGATTGCTGAACAGCTTCAGCTCCCTCTTCTCCTCCTCATCCAGGGAGTTGCAGTACCGGACCTGCATGCACAGAGCACAGCATGGATGGGTCGCTCTGGCCGAGGTCCTGGGGCCTCAGCCTCAGTTTCCTCACTCACTCGCCACCACTGCTACAGACAATGCCCGTGCTTCAGCAGGCGCAGTTGGTGCTGCTTACGGGAGACCTTACTGAGACTGTGACGAGCGAAGGAGCCTTTAGAGGGCCTGAACCCCGAGCCCAAGCTCTAGCTGGGCAGGCTGTGGACTCTGTAGCTGCTCTGCACGCTGGCCCCGACCCTGCTTGCCACACTCAGTCGGCTTGGGCTCAGTGCTGGGAAATTCACTCTCATCGAACTGTAGGGCCCGACGCCTGCAGCCACATGTGCTCATGACTATGGAGGAGGGACACGGTGGCTCATGCTGCAGGAGTGCACTGGGGGCGTCAGGAACGGAGGGACCTGCCGCCGAGCTTCAGACAGAGAGGCAACATGCAAACATATCTTCCTTCTCGCTAAACCCAGAAGCTCACAGAGCAAAGGCAGGGACATCACAGACATTTAAATCCAGTATCTGCATTTTCTCCCCTTGTTTCTGCACACTTTGGAAACTGCACCACACGCATGAACTATTATTATTAATCCTAGATTTAAAAGTGATTCACTTTTAAAAACGTGAATAGATTTATCTGAAGTACATTAAGACTACAAATAGAAAGTTAACTGCTTGCAAAAAGCAGCGTGACCATGAAAGCAGAGAACATGACCATACCGTTAGATTCCAGGTGGCTACTTTGCTTGCAGGAGACCCTGCACCCGAGATCCCTGATGCTCCTACTGGAAACCGAAGACCGGAAAGAGGCTGATAGGTACGAGATACCTGCTAGGACCAAGTGAAATTTCCTCCCTGTATCCAACCACTTCATCACCTGGAGGGAGTGGCGCTGCCCTTCCTCGGTTTTATTTACTGCCATGTCCATGTTCTACTCCAGGCCATGTACACGCTATCCATGGGGAATCTGGGCCCGAACCCACCTGCTGTCTCTTGGAGCCATCTGGGGATCAGAAAGTGTTCCCTGTGTCATTCTGGCGACTCGGCTCAAAGGTGGGGAGAGGAAAACCTTCCAGTTTGGAGTCTGATCTGAAACCTGTACAGCTGTGACTGTAGCTCCTGGGTGATCAAATGCTGACTTCACAAGGGGCAACATCAAAGGGGCTAGTTGTGCCCACGGGGTCCCATGTACTGCGCTCCTACCACAGGAAGTGGTAATCTGAATGGTGTCACTTTTCACCAAAAGCACTGTTAACTACACACAGAAGAAACCACTAGAGGCAGAGGAGAGCAGATAGTGTCCCACTCTGGAGTCACCATAAGAACTCGTCAGAAAGAGAGCTGGGGTGACCTCACCAGCCAGGACACGTGGTCCTACCGCTGACATTCTATGCACATGCCTTTAAAGCAAGGCACACCTCTCCTGCTTGTAAAGGCGGGCATCAGGTTACGATGTTTGCTCACAGCGTTAAAGGAGAACACATTATTTGTTTTACAAAATATAAGCAGCACATAAGGGGAATCACAGCTAACCTCCCAGGAACTGCTTCAGTTTCTAAGTGTCTGTCAACTCACTCAAATGCATTCATTTATTTACTTATTTGAGGTGCTCAGGACTGAACTGAGGACCTGCCTGCCCACTAGGCAAGCGATCTCCGGCTGAGGTGCATCTCCAGCCCCTCAGGGATTTCTGAGGCCCTCAGATGATCTTCATCCACTGGAACGTGGAAAGACTTCGAAAAGCCCTCCCTTTCTTCCCTGGGACATGGAGGGCTGGGGACTGCTGAAAATCGGTGCCCAACTTCCTTTCAACGTAAAATTATACTTTTGTTTCAAATGCAGTCAGAGTCAAGCAGCACAATTTAGTAGGATTCCTACTTTTTAAAAACCAAATACCTAAAAATTAATTTCCAAGTCGCAAACCTAATCCTTTCCAGCATGCTCTTTAAAAAGATGTTTATAAATTTCTCTTTATGACCAATGCAATTTCAAGGAGAAGAGATGCCTGCTTGGAGCACTGCTTCGGGTTCAGAAGGAGAACAGGCCACAAGCCATGCTTTCAAAGGCACAGACCCTGACGAGCAGACTCCACTGTGACAGAAATCACAGATGTGCAGCCCGGCGAGTGTGGTCACCTAACTTCTCAGCGTAATGTGAAAACTCGCACACTCCTTCAGTGCGGGATGATGATGAAAACTTGCGATGGCCCAGGGGACCTCAATTATCTCTCTAGCACATGCAGGCGAGCAGCAGGGCACACCGTCCTCAAGTCAGAGATCGGGCCTGAGCTTTTAACTTGCAGCACTCCCTGGATACTGCGCCAGACACAGGTTAAGGCAGCCCATGAGGAGACTCTGGGTTTGGGCCACACTCTCCAGAAAGTGTTGGTCCGCTTCTTTTGGCTCTAAATTAAGGAAGCTAAAAGCCTAAAAGAAACTGCCAGAGGTTTTCTTCAGCAGTCGCGCTGACCGTGGGCTTCTGATCAGGACCGAGAACAAGGCAGAGTCCTGGCTCCCTGCGCCCCTCAGGCCCCTTCTCACCTCGTTGTCGTGTGGAGGCAGCTGGTGGAGGAGCTGCTTGATTCGCAGTTTCTCTCCCGGGCTGTTAACGTAAGGGACCTTCTCTTCAGGGAGGCAGCTGTAGTACTGGTGCACCTGGGGGACAAAGCACACACAAACTTGCCTGCCGCTCTCACTCTAACCCCTCGCACCTCTTCTGGGGTGCAGATCTCCCCGGATCCACTTCCACTGCCCCCACATTCGTGACACTCAGCAGCCTGCATTTCCTGCGGCCAGCAGAGAAACTCATTGTCAAAGAAAGAGCCAAGCCAGTCACCCCTAACTGGGGGCTTTCCGAAGCAAGAAGGGAGAAGGAAAGCCCACAAACTTTCTTAGCAAAGGAGTACTCCACAAACATGCTGGGAAGCCGAGGACGGCACTTCTCAAGGACGCCCTCCCAAGTGTCGCTTTACCATTTTCTGTGTCTGCAGCCTGGGAGGCCCCTCCCTGTGAGGGATATGTCAGCGCCTGTCCTGGCACCGCAGCCACAGCTTGTCTCTGGCACTCAGCCTCCACCTTCCTTAAAAGCCCTCCAGGTCTGGAGCCATCAGCACAGCAGGAAGCTGCTGACATCCAGCTCACTAGCCCCGGTGCAGGGCATGGAACTCAACTCACTCACATGAGGACTTTCTGCACATTCCTGTCTGTGCTGCACATATTCCTGCACTCTGAGGCTCCTTCAAGCCGAACAAATGGGGAAAGTACCAAGCATCTGACTTTGCCTGAGAACAAAACACAGCCCATTTACTCCTGAGCCACATGCTGACTAGCTTGAAAGCAACAACTGACCAAAGCAAAGGTATGTGATCACACAGGGCAGGCAGAAATAAGCACTTCAAAGCTCAGATAACATCATGGAAAGTACTTCCAGTGTGTCTTCCTTAGCACTCCCACCAGCTCTTGCGAAATGAGGCACTCATTTAATGACCGGAAGACGTCAGCGCTGTGGGCAGTCACTGGGTCTACTTCCTCTGTGCCCAGGGAGCCATGGATATGAACACGTGCTCTGGGAATGCAGGGGTGAAGAGTTGTGGATGCTCCGTCTGCTTTGATCTCCAGCAACCAAGTCAAGAGTGTTAGAAGAAACAGCAGGAAAGGGCTTGCGATGACAGGGCCTTAAAAAACGTGAATGCCATCTTTATTTTCTTAAACCAATGACGGGAACCACTCACCATCATGCTCTGTCCTCTTTCAAGTCAAATCCCACAGGCAACCATAAACAGAGCTCTTGACCCAGACTGGGCAGGGCCCCAAAGCCCATCCCCAGAGGTCCCTGGCCAGAAGCCACGGCCCGGATGGGAAGGAGCAGCTCTGGGTTTGCAACTCACAGATTGCCTGGCCCCTGGGAAAAGCAACAGCCCACACTGTAAGTGAGTTGGGGATAGGAGCTGGCCTGCTTTTCCAGAACAGGTCCCCAGAGGCCCGGGGGCTTCAGCCTAATGGGGCATAAGCCAGGTATATGGAAGCAGGACCCGTCTCTGTGTCCTGGGGAACAGGCTCTGCCTCCCAAACAGAATCCTGGCTGCAGAAAGCCCACATTCCAACACCACCCTGTCATCTCACAACTCTTCCGCACCTGCAAGTGCTACAAGGAATGGATCACTGTGGATGCTTGAAATGCAGGACAGTGGGCGCTGCCTGACCCCTCCTATCACTGTCACTTCTCACACCCTCTCCTCGGTGCCCGGCACTGTCCACAGCGCCCTTCTGAGTTAGCACCTCGAGCCCAGCTTGCCATGCTCCTGTCCAAGCTGCTCAGGCCGGAGTCTCACTGCACCTTGCACAGCGCGGTGGGCAGAGCTGGACTCTGGCTGTGGCTGTCGTCTCCTCTCTCTGCATCCCGAGCAAGTTATAGAGCTGCTCAGAGTGCTTAGCAGAGGGTCAGGGTGACTGAATGAGACAGGCGGCCAAGCACATGGCTCGCAAGGATGACAGTAACACGAACACATAATAAGAGCATTATCCAGCCTGGCCTAACCCAGATGGAGTGGTCCAGATGATTCCACTCCAACTTAGATGTGTATCAGCACTCATGCTGCACACAGTAGGACTGCCCACCTGTTCAAAGCAAGAAAAACAGGTGCAGGAAACAGTGACAGTAAGACTTGTCTGATTTCCAAGGGAAGGAGTCGTTACCATGAAGTGTGCTGCTTTGTTAAGAGACCCAGCAGTCTGTGGGACCTCATGAGGGAATGGAACTGGCATGTGTCTCTCATCTCCTGACACCAGCACCCTCCTACCTCTATGCTGTTGTCTCTCTGAGGATCTGTTCCTCACCTTCTCAAAGCTTAAGGCTTCCCACAACACTTGAATTTCCACTGGTTCAGTTCAAGAGGCACCCTAGACTGACTAGCTTTTCTCAATTCTAAATTCCCCAGAGAGGGGCCCGGAATACCCTACCCTGGGTTGGGTCCACATTAAAGATGGTACTGAAGGAATCTTAGCTTAGCTACTGAGAGGCCCCATTCTCAAAACAAATCAGATCACAATAAATGGCACAGCAGGCAGTCCGGCTTGCTCTGGAAGGACAAGTTAGCCCTTCATGGCTTCCAAAGCTCTTCAAAGCTTGTTTGAGTCCAGGTGAGGAGGCTGGCCTTCTAGGCCTGGCTTCTGCATCGCCTAGGGTTTGGGCACAGGACTTTCTAAGCCCTTCAGCAGGCAGACAGGATTATCCAATGGGAAGAAGGGATGGAGGACCAATTCTCCTACATTCCCACTCTGTCTCCTGCTGGATACAGGGATGCTGTGTCTATTCTCCTCTGGCACCCTCCACCATCAAACTACCGGGTATCCCAGAGCAAATGCCAACCACAGTGCCGATAATGGGAAAAGACTGAATATACTTTCTGACACTACACAAACGGTATTTGGTGCTACTTCTGAAAATCTTGCAGATTGTTCACTGTAGCTGAAACATGTTTTCCTTGTTCATTTTTAGGAGTAAATAAGTAAACCTAATAGGGTTTTTGTCAGTGCCAATCAACACTAAGTTATTGGCTGGCATGTTGATAACTTTGCATGTAATGAGCACACTTATTCCAAGCTGGTCTGCTGAATGTTTGGAAGCTTCACCCCAGGAAGACATTCGCACGGAAAGGTGTCCTGTGATTCGGCCCCGGTGTACGTACCAGGTACGCTTCTCTGGAACAAAAGCACCAGAGCACAATACCCTGGCTTATGAAATGTAAAGAGCTGAAGGCCTCTGTTTAAGGTACTGCTCCCTGACAGGGGAGCTTGGCAGCAACTCCAGTCCAGGCCAGGTGCAAACACGCTCTCCACAGCTGGGCCTCGCCCAGGTGAAGAGACTGGGCCTGTGAGAAGGAACTGTGTTTCTGATGGCACTGCTGCTATGTACAGAGAGGTAAACGAGGGACTCAGCGCCTCTGCACTTGGGAAAATACTGTGAGTGTGAAGCACTTCTGGGTGGCGGGTCCTGAACAAACTGCAGCTCTCACCAGGGGCACCTGACTCTGACTCAGAGGGTGGGGTGAGGCCCTGTGACTTGCATTTCTATCCACTCCACAGGTCCTGCTGCTGCCCCAGGAAGCACATTTGAGAAATTTAGAGAGTTCTCTCATTATTTCCCCTCAAAAACCAACCTTATGCAGTTGTCAGACAAGCGACAGAGTTTGTTTTTTTCTAAGAAATTCTGGAATTTCAGAGGTTGGGGAAGAACTTGCTAGACATTGGTCAATTTCTCAGGTCTTTTTCCACACTGAGACAGATCATTAAGCAGGGAGCGTCTGCCAGGTCCAGCAAGAATGGAAAATCCTAAGACCTACACACTCACACAGCAGGGTGGGAACATTTCATACATCAAAAGCATCATTTTGTTACAGCAGGGACCCAACAAAGGGACACCAGACTTTTCTGGTTGATCTCAGAATCACCTGTTCTTCATTGTCTACAGGAAGAAAGGGGCCAGCGAGCTATTTGTCTGCGGAGTGGCTCTAGGCCTTAAGTGTTTTCATATACAGTTGTTTCAAGAGTCCTGTTGGCACCTGAGAGGTGGTTATTTCTTACTCCCTGACTGAGTTTCACAAAGTTTCCCAGGGGCAGACTCACTTTGGTGCCTCTTCCTCCCTCTCTGTTCACTGCAGATTCTCGGCCTTTACCAAGAAAAAGACACTGGCAGGTGGATGGGGAAAAAGGCAAACAAACAAATCCCCTCATAGATATAGCAGATTTCCAATATGTCCTTACACTGACCACAGAAATGCGGGGTGTTCCCTTTGGTGTTTGTCATAACATAACCAACACAAGGTGCCCAAATAAATCCAAAATGATCTTCTGCGAGTAAAAATGTCCCTGGCATTGCCCATTCCTTCCGTAACACCGTACCTGACCAGTCCCACAGCTACGGCGGAAGTGGCTGCCCACCCACAATCACCTTCCTTTTCTTCCTCCCTTTATTTAGATCAATGAGCCTGACAAAGAACAGTATCTCCGTGCTTCCCTGGTCTGGCTCAGGGCGTGCAGGACGTGACTGGTAGAGCCCATTTTCGCTCATTCTTCCTTCTTCCGGCCAGAGTTTGGCAGCCATCACCGACGGAAGTGAGGAGCCCAGGGCGTGAGGGCAGAAAGTTAGGAGACTGCAGCTCTGATTACAACACTGGGCCGCCGTGTCCACCCTGGACCTACTTTCCCATCTCTGCACTTTCACCAGTGAGAGAAATCCACGACCTCTGTATTTACAGTCTATTATTACAGAGCGAGTGTGATCCCGGAAGGGGGCAGCCACAGGCCTTAGTTAGCGCCCCCCAGAGTCGCGGAGGCCGTGTGCAGCACTCCCTCTGTCCGAGGGAGTGGAAGTCTGCGTGTGACACACACCTCACTGCATGCCGGGGCACACGCAGGTTCGGAGGGGAGGCAAGCAGGGCTCCACAAGGCAAAGCTTCCCGAAGTGTAGTCTCTGAAGGTGTTCAGAAAAGCACTGCAATCCAGGCAGTAATTAGAAGGCAGGCCTTCATCCCGCCTTCTCTCTCGCAGCAGCTGCTCTGCCTCACTTCCGGCCCACATCTGCAGGCCC